CTCTCACCAAAGGATGTGACCACATCTATCTGTAAGTAATGGCCTGGAAAAAAAAAAAAGAAAACAGAAACCATGTTACTCAACATTAAAATGATACGCCTCAAAGCCTTCAGGACATTTCAATGTTAAAAAGTACACGCAGTTAGAAACCAAGATGTAGGTTCCCGAGGTATTAGTTCTGCACGTGCAGCCTGAAAATGGAAACTGGCCTCTTCAGTGCCCACGTACCATCTGACTTCATGAAAGTTTATACAGCGTTCAGTCTCCAGAGAGTCTGGGAGTAGCTTTCAAACAGCGCTTCATCACCAACGGCGACACTCCCCAAGGGACAGAGAGAGCTGGAGAACCCAGAAGCAGAGGAGCCGGACTCGGATGAAGAGAGGACCAGGGCGCTGGAAACACCTACACCTAACACACCTTCCAGAACTCTGCTCGGAACAGACCGGCCACATCCCTCTCCTGCCACACGCTGTGCCTGGGACCTCAAAGCTGTCCCTTCAAAGCCCTGATCAAAGCTGGAACCCCTGCAACAAAGTTTACTTTGAATTAAATACTGGCTGACCCAAAGACTCTGAGAAGGAAGGGAATTTAACAGGTGTCTACAACAAAGGATCCTCAGAGTTTTTGAAACGCTAACCTCTGTGAAGACATAAAAGTTGGCAAAAACCTGAGCCTTCTGCTTTCTTCAAACCTCCTTGACATCTGTAACCAGAGTCTGGCTACAAAAGCTCTGCTCCAAAGTTTCCAGAAGGTCTCATCAAGTCACAGCCAAAGTTTGTCTTTCCAATGAAACCAACTATTAATCTTACAAAGAAAAGAGAGACGGCATTACCTGGGAAGCAAATCACCTAAAAGAGAGTGGTAAACACATTTCCCAATTAAGAACCTGACAAGAACTCAAAAAAATAACATAAAATACCATCTCCAAAACACCATTGTCCTTATTCCAATTTATTAAGGCTGCCTCCACCAACATCACACCATCAAAAGGTTAGAGGGGGACTATCAATAGGAAAGTAGAAAAATGGGGTGTGTGTGTGTGTGTGTGTGTGTGACAGAAACTGTCCAAATTGGACCTCGGCAGGCAATGAAGACTCTATCCACCCAATCAGTTTCACCTGAAAGGCCAATGACAAGCATTAAAACCAAAAGCTCTACCTACTGACAAAAGTTCACAGCCACCTGCCAGCCCAAGGCCTCCACATCAGACTAAAACAAGCACTGTCTGGCAGGCCCCTCCAGAGCTCTTCCAAGTCCTCCTGACGACCCTGAGAACCTCTTCTGCAAAGTCCTGGGAGGCCACCCTCTGAAGCATCCGACTGTCCCAAAATATTTTTATTCAGTAGGTTTTAAGTGATTAAAAATTGTATGAATGAGTTACAAGGTAATTTAGAAATATCCAACTACCCAAACATAAAACTTCCATTACAATCACACTATTCTTTATCTTTTTGATTATTTTGGCTTTTAAATGATTTAAAGTGATGGAAGTATCACCCTAGCAAAAGAGAGTCATTATTTAATTATTCAGTACCATGGCTGGAACTAGCAATGAGATTTGGATATTCCCTATTTCCACACCTACTCTGTTCTTAAATCAAACCTTCACCCATCTGTGGTGACAGTTCCTCCCAGCATTAAAAGATGACTGTAATAATAAAAGCTGCTCCAAGTATTAGGAAGAGTGTTAGAAAAAAAACATACAAAGTATCATACTAATACATAATGTAAAAAATGACCTATATTTTACACAGCTGAGAAAGAGATTTGAAAAGTGTGTAACACTCACAATTCAAAAAAAGAAAAACACAACTGTTCGGTGATACAAAAATAAAGCTAAACTGATCAAATTTTCCCAAGGACAGTGTAGTCTATCATTAACAAGTCATATATTTTTTTGACAAAGCAAGAGGTCCGTGAACACATTCAAGACAACTAGCAGGTACTAGGCCCACCTTGGGGAATACTGCAACTGTATGAACACAAACCTAAAATGGGATTTCCCTTTTGAGGCTTGTTGCCAGAGCAACCAGAAAAGCTAGTCTTTGAGAGAGAATTTGAGGAAGATTAGGGACAGGAGGAGGTTACTTTGCTATGAGGAATTAAGAACAAAAAGTACAATGTTACAAGAAGGGTACCACAAAGGGCATAAACTGAAGGGACACATACAAGCAGCCACTTGTCAGGGCCATTGCAACTTACTAACAAGAAATGCACACTTCCCACTGGTTCTTTCTTACAGGACCCTCCATTCCTCAAAACCACAGGAACCCTGCCAGCCTCCCCTCATTGCCACAGCCCGAGTCACCAGGAACAGTCAGGAGCCGTCAGAGGGACATAAGGAGAGAGTTAGCAACACCCTCACTACAACATCAACAATTTCCTCTCACTCAAAGAAGGGTTTAAATACAGACACCACGCTCCAGCACCAACAACCTCCAGTCTCAAACAGGCCGCAGGGTCTGGGGCCTCCCTTCCGTCACACTCCCGTCACAAATGTAATAACGTTATTCAAGTGGTCGCAAGTGGGCAAGAAAAAGGAAAAACCCAACAGAAGTCGAAGTCAAAAATGTCTAGGCCTAAAGCATGATAAAGTCAAGGTCACATAGATGGGCATAAGGGATGGACAACCACAAAATGACACTCCACACCACCCAGCAGACAGCTCTGGAGAACATGAATGAATGGTCAACCCTGCCCAAAGGCAATGCTTGTGTCTGTATTAGTATCAGTAAAGAAGCTTTAGTCTGTTTTTCAGGTTTTTCTTCAAATACTGGACATTCAGGGCAAATTTAACTGACATCAAAGAAACTGGTATTTGGTATAAAAGATACAGGCAAAGCCCACAGAATGAACAGTACACAGGTAAGATATATGTGAAGACAGCGCTGCCTTCTCTGATTCCCACTCTGCTTTCCCAGGTCCCTGTTACATTCCACGTCTACCTCTCTCCTAGCTTCATATCATAGTTCTTAATGTTATTTTATCCCCCAAGTAGACTCTACCCTCCTGAAGGTGAGCATCTACATCATCTTTGCAACGCTCAGGACATTCACTCACTCACTCAACAATTACATACTGAGTACAGAGTTAAGGGCCAGACACCAGACTACAGACTGGCACTAAATATGTACATGGTTTGAACGAGTATTGACTAAAAGGCAGAAAAAGTTAAGTTCAAAAAAGGATCCCAATAAATGCATGCATTCGAGCCCCACAGGGGATTAAGGAAGGAAGCAATGGAGTTTGGGAGCAAAAGCCACATTACACACCTGTGCACTGTCACAGAAAAGTTGCAGGCCTGAGGCTGTGTGATCCAGAAGCAGCTTTCTCTGTATGAACTATCACGCGTATTAGCTATTTAGCCTCTAGGGACAACTGATAGTGATGACCTAAAGTGCCATAGCCTTAAACTGTTATCGTCAGCTGCCACCTTGTCAGCTCCAGGGACAACAGAATGAAACGCTAGCAGGTCCCCGTGCCATCCCCATGACCAGCTGCTGAGCTGTGTGATCACTGCAAACCAGAGCTTTCATTGGTTCATTGGGAGAAGTCAACCGGCAGACCATTCTTCCTAGTCTGGAAGCTCTGTGGAAGCCGGTTTAGAATCAGAGCAACACGCATGCCCTCCACTGACAGACACTGGTGGCTGTACACGTGGTGCGCTGGCTGGGAATCAAACCAGGTCTCCCACAAGGAAGGTGAAAATTCTAACACTGCCCCAAACTTAAACTAAAACCAAAACCCAAAAAACAAACTCACCGGATCCGACTCACTCATAGTGACCCTTCCTTGGGTTTCGGAGGCGGTATCACTATGGCACTAGATTGCCCCATTTTCCTTCCGAGGAGTGGCTGGTGGGTTTGAACCGCCAGCCTTCTAGTTAGTGGTCAAATGCCTTGGGCACTATGCTACCAGAGCTCCCCCAATCTTAACTAGAGTCCCATAAATAAGATCCCTGTGATGGGTCTTTACCTGCCCGTGAGATGGCAGGCTGTTTTTAAAGTTGTAATCATTCATTCATTCAACATATTTAAGAAATGTTTATTACCTAATAGGTATGACTGGGCCCCAGGTTTTAGACCATCAGGAAAGTCAAGGGGCCCTCCAAGAACTCCACCTAGCACAGGTAGCGAAAAAAGGGGGGAAATATCTTATTTAAGGAAAAATACCCAAACTGAAATTCAAATGCCAACAACATAAAAAAGTGTCATAATACATTTTATTCAGGTGGGTTTTACATTCATTCCTGTGTCATCCTCAGTGATACTTGAAAGTGGTATCCCCCTCAGCCCAAAAGGTACTGAAACAGTATTTCACCTAAAAAAAAAACAGAGCCCCTACAGATCCACCACTCCCACGATACTATTCTGGGAAAGTCAAATGCAAAGAGGGTAATTGGAAATTCCGTTTTGTTTTGTTTAAGAAACTGACCAGGACAGGAAGGCAGGAAAAGGCAGAACAAGAAGGCAGAATGTTGGCGGGCAGTGCAGCTATGGGCCCCTCTACCCGCTCACTAACACGCTCCTGTACTGAAGGCTGGGGCCAACCACAGGTGGTCGGGATGTGGGTGAGAACAACCCTGACCTGGGACTCCTGGCTCCGGGGCCAGAAAGGCCAGAAGCCCAGAAAGTACGGTGCCTGTCCCATGAGCGCTGCCACAGGCAACCTATCAGTACACGTTGCATGGATGAACGAACACACCTATACCTGGCTTTCTCTACCAAACCCCACACAGTGTGCTCTTAGGGCCTGGAGACCCTAACGAAGGGCTCTGCCCTAAGAAAAGACTCTGTCTCTAAAGAAAAGACTGTGGGAGGGTTGCCTCCCTCCAGCCCAACCCTAGAGTCAAGGAAGAGCAGCTGAGGCCCATGGGAGGGGCCGAGAGGGGGCACAGGGCGGAGAGGGGAGGGTCGGCAGGGTGCACCCAGACAACCCCTCTCCCTTCCAAAGCCGAGGTCAGGCCCCTGCCCTCTGTCCCCTGATCCTGCCTCCCTCACCTGATCACAGAGATGAGCAGCCCTGAGGGGTCTTTGCTTTTGCTGACAGTGCTTCTGTATTTCCCACCAGCTGCTTCTGCCGCCATCTTGCACGGGGGAGAGGGCCCGTGGGCTGGAAGGAACCAGAGCGTCCGAAAATCCTGTGTTTGACCCCTCAGGAGTCTCAGCCAATGGAATAAGACAAGTCCCGAAGCCCGGAAACGGAGCATCCAATCGCTGGACGGAAGAGGCGGGACTGAGGCTGCCACTTTCGACGCCGGGGCCGCATGTAGTCTCTCTAAGTACTCCGGGAATTGTAGTTTATCTGCTGCCGTTCCTAGATGCACAAGAAACCGGTGGCAAACTTCGTGAAGGCATTCCAGGAGGTCTTCAATTACCTTTATTCCGACCTAAAGTTTGTTTTCAGTTTACGTGATTTTAGAATTTAATGAAATGTTTAATCATATTTATCTAGCGACGCCAAGATGTGTGTAGGAGTGGCGGGAGAGGAGATGTGTTTTAAGTAAGAGGGAGGGACTATGCTTGATTTATGTGGGAAGTGTATTTCCTTGGCAATTACTTTAAACACAAGTGGTAAAAATAATATTTTTAAAACAATAAATTGTGAATATGAATTGGACACAAATACATTTCTTTGGTATTCTTGAAAACGATATGTTCCTCTTTGCCTTTATTTGAATGTGAATTTGATTTTTCCATTGTCTCTGTATTTCCAGATAGTCCTAAAAATCATACTCAGGAACACACAGAGGAATAACTGATAAACAAAAGTCAGCATAACTGAGAAACAAAACTGCAAATTCCTTTCCTCCTCAGGTTTAATAAAAATACAGGTAATAATATGCACATTTATCCTTTATTGCTATTTTTACTAGTAAGTTATCATATTATATGCTTATGCTTTGACCTGATTGGCTTAGTCATATACTTGGAAGACAAAATGAACAAAAACCAAGAGGATGTCATTAAAAGGAAAATGCAAATCAAGCCACGATAAGATACAACTTCAAACTCATTGTTGTTGTTGTTGTTGTTATGTGCCCTCGAGTCAGACCCGACTCATATTGACCCCATATTTATTGACTTATATTCACTACGAAGGAGATTGCCCCATCTTCCTTCCAAGGACTGGCCCATTAGAATGACTGTAATTAAAATAAAATAACAAATCCTGTGATGACATGGAGAAATTGGAGCCCTCCTACATTGTTGGTGTTAATGTAAATGGGATGTGGGCTGTGGAAACAATTTAGCAGTTTCAGGAATGGATTAGAAGAGGCCATCTTCTGCAGAACCTATGGGTGGGTTTGGTTAGTAGAGTGCACTTAACCATTTGTGCCACCCAGAGACCCCTAGAATTGTCTGTCATCCTAGAATTCAACTCCTAGGTACACACTCAAAAAAATAATTGAAAACAAGTAGTCAAATTAAAAGTTGCACATGAATATTAAAAGCAGCACTATTCATAATAGCCAAAAGGTAGAAACAGCCCAAACATCCTTGGATGGATTACAAAAATGTGGTCTATCCATACAATGGAATATTATTTAAACGTAGAAAGGAATAAATCACAGATACATGCTACAACATGGATGATCTTGAAAATGTTATGGTGAGTGAAAGAAGCCAGACACAAAATGCCAAATATATTCCAACTACATGAAGTATCGAGAATAGTCCAATCCATAGAGAGAGAAAAGAGTTTAGTAGTTGGCAGGGAGCTGAAGGGAGATGGGGATGAAATGAGGAGTGCTAAAGGGGTAAGGAGGTGACATCTTCTGACCTCCTCTAACTACACAAGAGGAAGACAGAATCACCATCAGCAGCCCAAGGCCTGTTCTTATGATGCCAGATATGCTGCCACCCTCCAGCCCTCTTACCAACCTTGACACCAACTGTCCCTCCCACAGTACTGACCACCTTTCTGCTGGGTTTGGTAATTCATGGCAGTGGCCACACAGAACTCACAGATTATAGAGTTTATTAGGGAAGCAACAGGCTACAATCCAAGTTCAGGAATGCACTCTCTCTCAGCCGGCCATCTCTCTCAGCTGGCCATCTCTTTCAACCAGTTGTCTCTCTCAGTAGCACATCTCTCTCTCGGCAATGTGTGTCTCTCGCATCTTGCTCTTAGCAGTGTGTCTTTCTCACATCTCTCCCTCAGCAGCGTGTCTCTTTTAGTAGGACATTGCTCTCAGCCAGCAGTCAAAGAGACTCTCTCCTGCCTCTAGGAGGGTTCACTGTGAGCCTGGCAGAGTGGCAAAACTAACCAATCCTGATAACAGAATTCTACACACCTGAGAGCGAGCGAACTTCACAGAAGATTCCTTTGGGCTGCTCCAACAGAATTACACCAGGTGGATAACTTTAACAATCACCTACTCAGTTGCTCATGGCAAACTGGGAGTTATCAAAGATTATGGTTAGAAGAGCCATACCATGTAATTTACTACACCACAGGTAGTGACTGCTTACTGAGCTTGAGGTTTCCTTTGGGTGTGGTGAAAATGCTCTGGAACTAGATAGTGGTAATGGCTGCACACCTTTGTGAACATATTACATGACACCGAGTGGTACAGTTTAAAATGATTACAATGGTAAATTTTATGTTATATGTATTTTACCACAATTAACAAATAATGCAGGCTGTAGAGTAGGACAGCCTACATTGAATCCCAGCTCTCCACATACTGTCTAAACTACTTTAGACAAGTTACTTAATCTTTCTCTTAGATTCCTTCTGTAAACAAGGTGATAATAGCTTTTCCTTAGAGTAAGTGAGATTATAGATCAGTTCTGTTATTGTCATTACTAGAGTATGACACCGATTTTGTTTAAAATACATGTCTGTAGAGATTATAAAGTTATTTTTGAGCAGCAATACTAATTTTTCATTTTGTTCTTTATACTTTTCTGTGTTTTTCAAATTTTCTAAGACATCATGTATTGCTCTTGTAGATGAAGAAAAAAAATTGGGGGACGGGGAGAAAGAATTGAACAAAGATCAAAAATTGCAAGTTGCAATTGCAATTATGTGAAAATTCAACAGACCCACACTAAATCTTCATTCTATAAACTTTGTTTTGTTTCCCAGTTCCACTTCCTTCACTCCCTATCCCTGGAAAAAGGTACCCATCATGCCTCTCATCTTCACGTGACAGACGTACCTTTTAATGTTGCTTCTGATCCAGGTGACCTTCTAAAGTAACTCCAATCTTGCACTGCACTTCGAACAGCAGTGGGTGAAAAGATCAGGGTAAAGTTTTGCAGATCTGTCACTTATAACCTTCAGCCTTCAACACACACTCCCAAATCACTTTGAACCAACTAAAGTTTATGAATAGCTGAGATATTAATTATCAACTTCTCTGTGTGGAGAGGTTGGCACGCTATTGAGAGAATCAAAAGCAAAGTGGGAATACCCATAAGCCACAGCAGCTACTCAATGCCCAAAGAGAGATGGGCATAAATGCTGAAGATGTTTCCATGGAAACTTAGCAATGACTAGGTGACTCCAAAAGACTTCACGGAACTGTTATTGCTACTAGTTGCTGTGGCATCAACTGCAACTCAAGGCAACCTTTTGTGCGGGCAGACCTCAGAGGTACTGGGAGTTTGGTTCCAGCCACAAAGCAATAAAGCAGTGAATATCACAATAAAGCAAGTCCCATGAATTTTTTGGTTTCACAGTACATATAAAATGCAGGCTGTAGAGTAGGACAGCCTAGATTCAATCCTAGCTCTCCACATACTGTCTAAACTACTTTAGACAAATTACTTAATCTTTCTCAGTTTCTCTCTCTGTAAACAAGGTGATAATAGCTTTTCCTTAGAGTAAGTATGAAAGATAGGTTTGCACTATACTGTAGTCTGTTGAGTGTGCAATACATTATGAAAATATTTGTGAGAATGACCAGAATGTGACATAGACGCACAAAGTGAACACGTGCTGTCGGGAAAATGGCACCAGTAGACGTGCCTGACGCAGGATTGCCACAGACCTTCAAAGCACCGTAAGGTGTGCACACGCACAGTGTGAGGTGTGCCTGCACAGCAGAGGGAGACTTTGCCTGGTGCAGCACGTCTTCATGACTGTGGTATGTTTCAGTCCATTGTGCAGCTATTGCTTCATGGAATAGTTGGGATTTAATGAAACTGATCAGGCAAAAGAAGTAGAGACTTAAACACCTGAAGAGGAAGGGAAGGGCCTAGAAAGGCAGGATAAGGTGCAGAACGAAGCATGTGTTCTGTGTTCAGAGGGATAATTTGGCTAGAACAAAGCGTTCATGGGAAAGAAGTAGAGCTCAGCTCAGACAGGACCTTGAACCTCATGACCAGGCATTCAATGAGTTTGTGCAGTGACAGTGGGAATAGCATGTGTGCAGGTCTTGTTTTATGTTGTCTCATATATTGTAAACCAGGGCAGACTGTTCCTTATTGTTATATTTGTAAATATACCCAGAGGCTCTTAAAGCGAGGGGAACATCCAATTAAATCAAAATGCTTTGACCTCCTTGGATGAGAGGCTCTATATAAATCCAACATATTGATATCCTTATTATTGTGGATAAATGAAATGGTGAACGAGGCTGGCTCAGCAGCAGAACGGCTTCCCTGAGATTTGTAAGGAAAAAAAAAAAAAAATGCCCAGGCCAGGATATCTGCATGACACAGCACAGATGCAGGGGATTTTTAAGAGAGTGTCTCATAGGTGTGCACAGAACTCCAGGAAAAGGGGCTGTTTCATGCCCCATCAGCACTGCCTGCTTCCAAGAGTAGCTCAACTAAGTTTCAAAAATGCCTTTCAGGCATGACTGAGTCAAGCCAAGCACAAGGTGTAGACTGTAAACTGAAGGGAGAAGTCAAGGATATCTTCATCAAGGGAGAAGTTGTTATTATTTTATTCAGGATTTAATTTTCTATCACTGATTTAATGACTTTGGTTAAAATATTAACATAAGATTCATTTAACGCATTTCATCTTTATCTGCCCTTGAGTTGGATGCTGACTCATGGTAACCCCATGCACAATGAGATCAGACTACTGTCATCCATAGGGTTTGCACTGTCTGATTAAACGAAAAAA